CACTCCAGCCTGGGCAACAGAGTGAGACTCCGACTCAAAAAAAAGAGAATTTTTTTTGTAGAGACAGGATCTCTTTGTATCACCCAGGCTGGTCCTGCACTCCTGGGCTCCAGCAATCTTCCCACCTTGGCCTCCCAAAGTCCTGCGATTACAGATGTGAACCACTGCGCCTGGCCACGGCTTCTTCATTTGCACTTGCACACCACAGCCACTGTGTGCAAGAAGGAAAGGAACTTCATGTATTTTCTGTTTTTTTCCTTATGGTCTACATATTTGCTAAATCTGACTCTACTTGTGAGAAACCTTGACAGCGATTGCTACAAAGCATTTAATGTGCTGGGAAGAACCATGCTGGAACCAATATAACTTCTGAGTTACACTAATATCATCATCAAAGAATCAGGCTGGGCAAAATGGCTCATGTCTGTTATCCCAGCACTTTGGGAGGCTAAGAGGGGAGGATTGCTTGAGCCCAGGAGTTTGAGAACAGCTTGGGCAACATAGCAAGACCCTATCTCTACAAAAAATCAATAGTCGGGCATGGTGGCATGCACCTGTAGTCCTAGCTACTCAGGAAGCTGAGGCGAAAGGATTGCCCGAACCCAGAAGGTCTAGGCTGTGGTGAGCCATGATTGTGCCACTGCACTCCAGTGTAGGCAATAGAGACCCCAAAGCAGAAAAAAAAAAACCAAAAAACAAGTTTCACAGAACAGACAGACTGAGACCTCAACTCAAAAAAAAAAGAAAAGAAAAAAGAGAAAAAAACATACGTTTCATAGAACAGACACTGGCAAGGGCTGACCCAGGTGCTGGCATACTGTGACCCGGGCTTATAGTCAGAGCAGTATAATGGTCATAATGACAGTTTGCAGCCTTTACTGAGTTTGACCACGTGCCAGGCATGATGTTAAGCTCTTTGAATGGATTATCTCATTTATCCTTCACACAGACTCTATAAAGTAGGTAAAGAAACAGCTACTTAATAAGGATTCATCTTTATCCAAGTTTACCAAGTCAGTACGCAAATGAAGCCAGGATTTCAACCCAGACCTTTCTGACTCTATGAGTGCAGATATTAATAACCACAATTCGATAATAGTTTTCACCCATGCAGGATGGTATCTGGGTATATTACACATATTTTTCAACCAATGAAAGTGTGAAATGAGCCTACAGTAGAAACTGACGGCCTGGCCCTAGACTCTTTATCCCACAGGTGCCCGTCAACATTCATGTTGGGACAACGTGTGGACCTGGAAAGGCACGACGCACTGGTGAGCACGAATGAGTTTCCCAGACATGGGCTTTCTGGCTAGGATGTGAGGGAAGCCTCTGGACGGCCAAAGGGGAATTCCCGAAGCGAGCCATCTCCCCCTCAGTTCCTTCCAACTGGGCCAGGGGGGTCACTGTGGCGACCCTGGGCCCTGGAATGGACACACAGGCGCGGTTCTAAATGCTGGCAGGACACCCGCCCAAGGGACAGGGCAGGATTATGAACGGGAATTCACACCCAGCTGGAGCCAGGACTTCAGGCATGGAGGCTAACAAAAGACTGGGGTGGGATCTTGACTCTTCAGCTCATTTGCATTGGATTTGACTTCCTGGGTGCCCGGCATGAGCCGGGCCAAGTGTCAGGCCACGACGCTGACTGATCAGTCCATCAGGGCCTGCCGAGCTCACTGCAGTCACTCCCCGAGCACACGCTGTGCCATGTGCTCTCCTTGGCCTAGCTCATTTGGTCCTCACAGCCCTACGGTGGATGGGCTCCTGTTCTCCCATTTTACAGATGAGGAAACTGAGGTGCAGAGAGCATAAGGAGCACCCGCCCAGGCCACACAGCGACTGAACAGGTGCCAAAGCCTGAGTGGTGGGAACCAGGACTTGAATGTGACCTCTTCCCTAAGCTCCTTTTCTTGTGGAAGGATACGGGGGTGGAGACAATTTATGAAGTGATGCCGTAAGAAAAAAATGACAGACACGTGCACCCAGGAGAGTCTCAGGGGACCGTGACGAGTCCCGCTGGGGGTGGTGGGCGGGACAGAGGCCTGGGAGGATGCCAGCTCGGTAGAGCTGTCACAGCAGATGCTGGTGGCTGTCAGGCGTGGCAGAGGGAATGGTGAGGCGAGGGCCAGGAGGTGAGACTCGGCGTGGCATGTGTGCGGTGGGCTGTTGCTGAAATCCACAGGAAACCGGGCGGGGGTGGCAGGGCACAGGACGGCACAGCAGTGGGAGGAGACTGCAGAGAAAGGAGTCAGGCAGTAGAAGAATTCAGTTCTATGAACTGGCCACGCCGGGCGGCTGGGTTTTATGTGGGAAACACTGAGATAGGTTTGTTTTTTTTTGTTTTTTTTTGAGTTGGAGTCTCACTCTGTCGCCC